GGACTGGGGGTGAGTTTGTGTGTGGGGAGAGCTGCCGGGCCCTGTAGGAAGCCATGGAGAAGGTGAAGGTGAGTGAGTCCTGGCATGGGCCATGAAAAGTGGGGGCAGGGCAGGAGAGGTCACTCCCAAGATATGACCCTATTATTTTGGCTGCAGAGCGGCTTTATGGACCTCCCAAAGGAGAAGGTGGATGGGAAGGAGCAGGTGGAGAATCTAGAGCTTGGATTCATCCAGCTCTCTGGAGCAACAGACGGCATGAGTGAGCGGGAGGCCACAGCATGGGCACGGGCAGCTGCAGGGCCATTGTAGGGGCCCCAGCGTCTGAGCCCTGTTCTCTTGCAGGAGAGTACTTCACCATATATGGGAGCCAAGGGGCAGTCCCAAACACGCGGCACCAGGAGGAGGAGGACGTCAGCAGTCTGGCCCAGAATGAGGAGGAGATGAACGTAGGGCACGAAACATTTCTGCAAGGGTGGGGGTGGGTATGAGCACAGGCTCTAATGTGGTAGCTGAGCACTCCTCCCTTCAGGTGAAGCTGCTGGAGCTGCAGGAGCTGGTGTTGCCGCTTGTGGGTGACCACGAGGGGCATGACAAATTCCTCCCCACTGCCCAGAACCCTGCTGATGAGCCCGCTCCAGGGGCCACAGCCCCCCAGGAACTTGGGGCTGCCCATGAGCAGGGTGGTGAGTAGAGCCCTCAGGCGGGGTGGACAGGCAGGGGCAGGGGAGGCTAGCACTGTGCTCAGACCCCCGCCTCCCTCTCTCCGAAGATTTTTATGAGGTGAGCCTGGCCAACAGCATGGAGCCTGCACCAGGAGAGGCCAGGGAGGGTTCTCCCCATGACAACCCCACTGCACAGAAGATTGTACAGCTGCTTCCTGTAATGCAGGACACCCAGGAGCACCCAGGCTTTGCCAGCAAACCCTGCGTGCCATTCTTTTACCGGGCAGCTGAGAACAGAGAGATAAAAATCATCATCATCTAAGAGCTGGTCAAGAAATTAAAAAAAAAAAAAAACAATTATGGGGTTAATCCCCTACACAATTCATCTACTTCATTGGAATGTTAGAGCCCCTCATGTTTATTTATGTTTCTAATTTACAGTTTAAATTTCTTTCTGAAAAGTTAAGGGAGAGTGGGTCTTTCCCTGATGTTCACTCTGGCATCCTTTAGCATTTTTGTTTTTAATTGATAATTGTAGGTCATTAGCTCGCATATCGAGTTTGCCCTTACATGGTGGGAGTTCAAACACACAAAACCCACTATTTGCACAAAACTATTCTTACTGGTTTGGAATAGGCTGCCCTGCTTTTTAAATGTTATTGCAGCATGTATATTCATTACAGAATTCAGATAAAATTTGCTTATGTTCTGCTATTATGTTTGATCGATTCCTAATCACAGTGAGCTCTTCATTAGCTCAGTATGTGGTTTGCCCTCAAGTGCGCAGTTTCTTACTTTGTAATATGCCCCTGTGAGTACTGACATTTAGAGTTGTTTAAAGGCCAAGAACTGGAAACAGCCTTTCCCCTATTTTCTGTGTATTGGGGATGGGGGTGATAACATTTTGGGGAGCTTTTTAAATCTCACAGAAGAGGAAAGTGGCCTGCTTTGGCAGGTGTGTGCAGGATAGAGTGTGATTCATTTGTTCTGGTGCCAGGAATGAGCGCGGTACTATGGTAGTTCCCTGAGGATTTGTATGTGCTCTGGGCTCATGAAGATATCGCAGCATGAGCTGCAGCAGTTGGACTCTTTCTCAATGACCTAAAAAGGGATTCTTTCTGAGGAATGAAAGGCTCCCATCATGGACTGTGGATGCGGAAAACCTTTTCTAGCTTAGAGCATTTATATCCACAATACATTTTAAAGTCAGAGTTCATGTTACCTGTTTTAATCACATGACTACATGTCCCAGTACACAAAAGGGCACTGCTTGGCATTCTTCTTAGTGTATTTAGTGAAGATCATAAGAAACCCTTTCAGAGTTTAAATACCCCTGGAACAGGCGTACAGGCTCTAGTCAAGAATGAATTCGAGTGAAGGAAAGCTGTGTGACACCTGGCATTCCTCTATGTTCACGGAGCTTCTTTGAGGCTAGAAGACTGATTTTACCACCTAGACCTCTCTGGCTAATACCTATTCTTCAGCCACATTGGTTAATCTGCCATAGGAATTTACTTCTTTTCCTTGAATGGAAAACACTTTAAAAATAATAACAACCATTTTAATAAACTAATACATGTGAGAGTATTGGTTGAAACAAAAAGCAGTTTTAGTGGACAGTGTTATACTACATTTGAAAATCAAGGAGAAGTTTATGCAGCTTAAAATATTTACAAACTGCAATGCAATCTACTGTTTGTGAATGTCAAAGTATTATGAGTAAAAGTATCTATACAATCACAGAGTTATATTTCCTCACAAAGTTCTTTACGAAGAGTGAAATATGTTTTTATACCTCTCGGTTTCAGTTAGAGGCATATTTTGTGCATATTTATGTTATGTGTCTATACAGGATGAATGAATTATTTCAGTCATATGTTGCCTAAATCATAACTTCATGATGCTT